GATGTAACAGAGAAGAAAATCCCTCTTGGAGGCAGCAAAGCTTACAGCTGTAAGGCGGTAATGAAAGCAGACTCCTTCCCTCCATATGCAGCTCCTGGTGACTAGCATTTGTTTGCGGGGGAATCGAGCTATTCTCCATCTCCCTTTTACTTCCCTCCCTTTCTCTCTCTGTGTAACTAATCCCAAGAAAACCTCCAAAGGAATGGAAACCAAACATTGGACAGAAGACGCCAATAGAAACGGGGGGCGCTAACATTTCCAGACCAACGCTGTGTTCACGCTGCTTGTATGTCCCTTGGTCTGTCCTTGCGAATCTACAGTCCAGGGACTTTCTCGTTCTGTGTTTTTGCAGCACCTCACGCAGCGAGCTAAGTCCCCAGGTGCTACCCTAACACAGATAAATAACGATATCCAGGCTCTCGTATGGGCCTCTTCAGCTTGGTAGCCGAGAGCCTCCCGTTATATAACAAATCACAGAATCTCAGGGCTGGAAGAGACCTCAGGAGTCATCGAGTCCAGCCCCCTGCCCAAGGCAGGACCAAACCCAACTCAATCATCCCAGCCAGGGCTTGGTCAAGCCAGGATTTAAACACCTCTGGAGATGGAGATTCCACCCCCTCCCTAGGGAACCCAGCCCAGCGCTTCCCCACCCTCCTCAGGAGATGTCATGGTGGCTGTCTCTCTCTCCCCTGCCACCGAGAAGCAGGAGATGACAACAAGGGGTATGAGGGAAAACAAAGGCCGCCCAAGGCTGTTCAGCCGGTCTGAGGCAGGGCCAGGTAAAGTACTGAAATTGCTTGGCTTTCAGTCTGCGGCCTCAGCTTAGAAGCAAAAATGAGCTTAGAAGCAAAGAGGGAGGCTTTATTTGCCTCTTGATGCTGCAAAACACAGTGCTCTGGTGTCTCCCCCCCACAGCTCCTCATCCCAACACCGCAGCCCTCCTCCCCCTCTCTTCTGGCCTGTGTTTTCACCTTCGTCCTGCCCATCCTGCGCCGGAGAGCTCCCCACAGTGGTGCACAAGAGCCCGGAGGAGAGCTAGTGTGGGTGCGGGGAACCTCTGGTTTCTTATTCCCTTTGGAAACCAGCAGCTTTTAATTTCAGTGTCACTGACAAATCGCAAACACAGCTACCTCCCCCCGGGTGCTTCCACAGCACGTCGGCCTCTCGCATTCCAGGGGGCCGATAAACACCAGCCGTGGAATGATACAGCCCTGTGAGGATGCTGGCAGCCGCATGGCCAAACAAGGATATGCAACTGAAATTAGGCAGGGCTTAAAGAGTGAGTGATATTCCGGCATGCCAGCCACTGCTGCCCACGGCTGCTTTAATTGACAGGGCTTTTTTTTTCATCCTCCCCCTCTTTTTCTGATTTATATTTGACCCTCTGTGCCTCTTGCTCCGTATTTGTCATTTGAAGAAGTGGGTTGTGCCCACAGAAGCTCGTGATATGAGCTATAATTTTGTTAGCCTCTAAGGTGCTACAGGACTTCTTATTTTTAAGGTTTTTTTTTTAAATATTAGGGCAGAATACAGGGTTACTTGGAGTCCTTGCGATGTAACTAAGGCTTTTTCGAAAAAAAATTGAGCTTTTTCAAAAAAAATGGCAGTCTGGACCCAGATCTGTCGAAAATCAACCCTTTTTTGACACATCCTGTAAACCAGGAATACACGATCTGTTGAAAAAGGGTTTATTTTCAAAAGATCCACATCTAGACTGCCTTTTTTTCGAAAAAGCTCCATTTCGGAAAAAAGCGGTGGCCATGTTTATGCTAATGAAGTGCGGGATATATAAATCCCTGATTCATTAGCAATTTTGATGTGCCTAATCTACGTCTCTCTGTTTACAGAGAGGTATAGTCTAGACATAGCCTAATAGTGCACGATGCATGGACAGCCGGGTAACTGTATAATGGTGTAGCTAATGCTGTACTACACCTAGTATTTCCTGTGCAGCTGCTATGGCCTAGGATAGTAGACACAGGTAGGGTGTGACTGACTGATTGTAGCAGTGCGGTGTTAACCAGCACAGGGTGATGTAGATCCAGGTTTTATGGAATCCAAAGCACCGCACACAAGAAAGGTCAGCACAGGCCTGAGCCATAGGCAAGCTGCGATTAGTTCTCAGCACTTCTGAAAACTTCGTTGAGGGACCCGTCATCTCTCTGCATCTCTGGCCAGGTCACCGTTGGCGGAGAAAATCACTGTAAGACATGCAATTCCAGCCAGGACGGGGGCGCCCTCCGCGTGCGATTTAGCGGGTCTTTACTAGACCCGCTAAATCAACCGCTGGAAGATTGACCACCGCAGCGTCGACCTCCGTGGCAGTGAAGACGAGCCGTCTGTGAACCAGGGGGATGGCGCTGCCCTTGCGTGTCTTATCAGTTGAGGTTTGGAAGCTGTCTGGAGCAGAGACTTCCTCTCGCGCTGTGCTGTCCCAGCCCCGGGCATGGCGGGGGTCCCAGTCTGATGGCAGCCTGGTGGCGCTACCGCCATGTAAGAGGTTCTTGCTTAGGCCCCATAATGCTACCTCCCTGCACTGTACGTGGACCCAGACTCTAACGGCATGAGCCTTAAGGCATGAGACAGCGCAGCAATTGTTATGGTTCCAGGCCGTACAGCAGGGCCACTCTGGTGCTCCCGAGTGGGCCAGAGAGAGCGGACAAGCCAGGCTGTCGAGAGCAGTTTGAAGGGAAGAGGGTTTTTTTCCCCCCTGATGTTCTGACTGGCGAGGCTCTGAAGCCGTCTGTTTCTGTGCCCCCTGGGGCTGAGGGATGGCAGAACCCAGCCGCTCGGAACGAGCCGGACGGGACGTCAGCCTCGGCCATGCGG